CCCACCTCCATCAAAGCGTGTCTTCCCCCAGCCTACGAGGGGGCAGAGACATGCCCTGCCATGGCATCACCCTCCTCCTGGTGACGGCTGCATCCCCTTTGTCCCCTTGCTCACCGGCTCCCCAGGGTGGTCTGCAGTGCCGTGGAGATGCCACAGGCAAAGAGGCTGCATGCCAGCAGCTCACTGGTGGCCCGGGCGTGTGGTGGCTCCTCGGGCAGGGTGGGCAGCAGGAGGAGGTGGAAGATGCAGAGCAAGGAGGCCTGCACAGCCAGGTGCTGCGCAAGGAAGAGAGGGGGGTGTTGTGACTCCCTGACACCCAGAGCTGCATCCTCCCAGAGAGCACCCACCACTGCCCACTCCCCTCCCAGCACACCCTGGCCAGAACTCCTAGCACCCTTTGCCTGGCAGGATGTGGCCCCTGCCCTGCCACCCATGAGGATTCCAGCCCTCTCCCCATCACCTCATCTCTCTGGCTGCTCACTGTGGTCCCCCCTTACCTGAAGAGCTAAGCAACAGCTCAGCATCCAGGAGCACATCTTCTGCAGGGAGCAGGATGTGAGCGCAGGGCTCCCAGCACCAGGTGCTCTGCTGCAGACCCCATTCATGCTGCTGCCTCCCCACACCACTCCTGGTTTGTGGTGCAGAGGGGGTGGGCAGGCTCCCACCCTCCCCAAGGCTCCTCACAGCCCACGTACAACTGAACTTCCACCTTCTGCAGGAGCTGCCCCAGGGTTAGCCATTAACTTGAGTTGGTGAGTAACCTGCCCTTGCAGCCAGGAATGCAAGTGTCACCTTGGGTTGTCACCACAAGGGCCGGGTGACAGCCCCCCATGGCCCAGACACTGTTACTGTGCCAACTGCCCACAGCCCAAGTCCCATCCCTGCCATTTGTGGTACACGGGGCAGGGACTGGGTGGGCCACAGCACAGACAGCTCTTCCTTCACATGCTTGGAGCATCCCCGACAACAGCATCCTCCAGCTCTGGTGTGCTTCGCTCATGCTTGTTCCTCCAGCATGGCATCCCCTTGTCCTGGTCCAGCCCTTCCTCACCATCAGACCCCAAGGAGCCCATTAAAAGCTGCACAGCCCACACCCAGGTCCTGCCATTCCCCTGTGGGCACTGTGCCCACACCAGGAGGGTCTCCCATGGGGTTCTACCACATCCCCCATGCTCCTAGGAGGAGAGCACGGAATCCTGTCACTGGACAAGGATGCCAGGGACAAGAGCAGCCCACTTGGCTGGGAAGGCTCCCAAGGCAGCACAGGCAGGGGACGCTCATGTTTTTGTCACAGGAGAGGTGGCTGTGCCAGCAACCACAACAGTGACCCTGCCAAGCCCTTGCTGCTCGGGGCTCACTCATTAACTGGACAGACTTTGTAGAGCAAAGAGCAGCAGAGACCACACATTCCCTGCACTCCCAGCAACTGGGAACCTCCTTTCTCCTGATGCCTCTGCCTTCCCCAGGCACTAGACCCAACGGTCCTCCTGTCACCAGAGAGGCTAGTCCCTCTTGAGCTCTGCAGGACAGGCCTCACAGTGCTCCTGGGCTCACTTGCCAGCACTATCTGGATCTGAGCCTTGCACACCGGCTCAGGGAGCAAGCGCTGGTGCAACCACACAGCTGCAGCGATGGAGCTCTGCACCAGGGCAGACACGCAGCTCAGCAGGACACGGCAGGTGCACAGCAAGAACTACTTTTATTGGAAGAGATTTGCATCTACAAAAGAGTGAAAAACAGGTGTAAAATCCACAGTAAAAAGAAGGGGCACAACGAGCTGGGCTGGTCAGCAAGACAAGGTGCCATCTCCCCGCCCCGAGAGGCAGTCAGGCACTGTGTGCTCACAGCCACACACAGCTGGGGTTCGGGATGGGGTCACAGAGCACCCCAGTTTCAAAGCACCCAACACAAACAGAATAAGGAAGCTCAGTCTTAACCACACTTTACCACCTCCAAGCCCAGTGGGGCACAACCCTTCCCTGGGGCACAGCCACATTGGGGTCTCCTCTTGGTTTGACCCTCACATCTCCTGAGAAGTGGCCTGGCA